CAAATTCTGCACCTATTCCATTTGAAATTCAGTCAATTTTTGGTTTATTCGATCAAGTGGCATTACTTCGTTGTTTTGAACAGCACCGAGAATTAGGAGTTGATATTGCTCCATTCGTATTCGGTATGTTGGTACATGCAGCTATGATGCTTGATGGGGTGGAAGTTTTCAATCCTGATGCTGTTGGCTTTCTTACATCAATGAATTTATTCATTCATTTAATTGGTGAACCTGGTAAGTTCGTTCAGATGTTTTCCACGTTTTAGTTTAATCGTTCTGCATTTGCTTAGGTACTAATAAATCTGGTTTATTCCGGATCTTCAATAATAGCATCAATGTATTACGAAAAATTTTTCCTTCTTTCTTTTCGAAACCATGTACGGAAGTTATCAAAGATGAAGAAATACAAAATACAGTTGATTTAATTGTAAACAATGAAACGGAACTAGCTCTATTTCAACGACTCTCAAAACGGGTAAGTTATTAATGGAAAATTTTCTTAGTTTGATATAAGAGGGAAAACTAAGGATCGATTAGGAGAAAATGATACATATGTTTGACTTAGATAGGATCTTTGTAGTGGATTTGATTTTATACTGTTCAATGTTTTTTTTTATTTTAGGAGAATGTATTTTTTTCAAGTGACGAACTTGATGTTTTTAATACTCGATTTGGAGTTTATCAAGGCAATATGCCAGCCAATGATATGAAAATATTTGCTTCGAAACTCTTATGTCAAGCATATGATATTATGAAAAACGTTACTCGTACAACTGGATCTTCATCATATTTTATTAAACGTGGCTCCATCAATATTTTTGGTGCATCAACAGGTAACATGTTATCATCTATATGTCAACAATACAACAGTGATGCTATGTCCGATGGTACTGTTAGTCGATATTTATTCGTCACAACTTGTGCCCATAAAAGTTTAAATGACGTACCATCAGAAATTTTATCTGTACAACCAAATACTGTGCATATTTTAATCGTACTTCGTTTGTTGGCTCAATATAAACTAATTTTTGTATTTGGACAACATCAACTTCCAGTCATTGTACCAAAAATCAGTAAGCCTATTATTTATATCTTATGCTTTTTATTTTTTTCTTTCTAGTTATAGTTCCATCGGATATAGAAGAAGCTCGAAAAAATATCTTAAATCCAATTCCAGCAACTGAGCCAATTTCCACCTTAAAACCAAATGTGATTGTCGACATTAAACAAGCTGATATTGAACTAGATGGATCAATAATATCTCCATTTAATGCTATTCGTCGTATTATAAATGCCGAAGATAATAAATCTACACAGCTTGATACCAATGGCAAACCAACTTTTACACCATTGCAATGTGCTTTTCAGCGTAAAAGTAGCAATAAATTGGCTCGTTTAGCTGCATTATGTGAAGCAATATCATATGCCATTAAGTTATGTTCGGAATGCATTAATATAGTTCGATTTGGCGACGGCCTTTATTTAAAAGAACATATTGATGATGTACAAATTAATTGGTTAATGAAATTTCATGATAATGTAAAATTACTTATCGAACGAGATATTACAATGGCTCCAAAATTTGGAACAGATCAACGTCCGTTACTTATTATTGAAAAACCAGCTGTTCATGCTTCAAATATGCTCCATCAATACACTTCATCTACCATTTCGGCTCTCTTCGATGGCACAGAAATGAACATCAATGAACCAACAAATGATAATAATGACAATCCGATTAATAATGTATTGCCTAATAAGTAAGTCTTAGTAATTTTTTCGTAAATGCTAACCTAGCGAGCAGAACGTTTTTACAGTTATTTCTAAAATTGCCGTAGTATATGCATAGTGATATCTAATCAAAATTTGTTTTAGTGCTTTCTATGAACACCAAGCCATTTTGCTCAAAATGACATCACCTATTCTTGTGAGAGCTTGGTTCAACAATGAAATTACTGGTCTTCCATTCACGAAAACTTTTAAAAATTACCGAAAATCAAAAAGCAAATTGCCAAAACTCAATCAAGCTGTTGATGAATTAGTTCAAAATGATATTCTTAAGAAGGGCTTTCAAAATACTCGACACATTGTTGCTGCTCGAAAAGAAACTTATTTGAAAACGTCGCCAGCTACTATTCGTGGTAATAGCAACATGCTTGGTTATCTTCAATCAATTAGCGTCGATATTGATACTTATGAACATGTGTATCTTTCGTCACCATTACCAATGAACATGGAATTAACTACATTTGCAACTAATGTAATTCTATTCAATGATGATTATGTTGAATACTGTCATCTATTCAACGATGCTCGTATCGAAAAAGAAATGGAAGAACGATTGACAAAACATATGATTGAATCCAGAATGTCATTTGGTCGAAAACAATACTTTATGCCATTGCTATCTCAAATTGCTGTACAAGGTAAAGTTAAACTTTTACCAAACGAATAAGATTGTTACTTAATGAGCCATGTTCACACTTTGCTTATAAGCCACCCGACAGCAAAATTGTACTCTAAGAGAGAGACAGTATATTGCTAAGGGCGGCTTCTCTCTTTTCATCCTCTTTCTCTCTCTCTGTCTCTCCTAGAGAGGCTGATTGTCAATGGCAACTCAACTCGGTTCATCTCTTTTATCTATTTTTCCTTTGATGTTTTCTTCTTCTTTTCCATACAAATNTATCGAATGAGAGTTGGGGTTGTCGTTCAAGAAATGGAGGATGTACTAACTTCAGATGAGAAAATTTACGATCAAATGAGAAGCCGCGATCTGACATAACTTGATCACCGTTTTCGAGAAGTTCAATCAAACTTCCAGGTCCTTCCATGTTCAAAAGAGCACGATCGCTTGTAGCACCACCATATAAAGAAGAAATGTATGATACTACACCGTTTGGTGACATACCGATAAGCCCTTAAGAAATAAAAAGTATAAAGTATTACTAGAGTGAATCAGTCAATACTAAGATAATACATTTAGCTTTGAAATTCCTTCTAAACGCATCCTCACCTCTTCAAAATACCGTTTCTTTCAGTATATCATAAATTCATCTAGTTATATCTAAGAAAAAACCGACCTCACTGAACAACGAAGAGTATCAAACATATAAACTCATTTACCTTTAGCTGTGTTGGTATTTTTGTAATTTGACCAAGTATTTTGTTGTGCTTGAGGATTCTTTGGTTGTTCAATTTCGAATTCTGTACAATCGATGATAACTCGTACTGATGGGTAATTTTTCTTCATTTCAAATGGTAGATTTTTCTGAACTTTTTCTCGAGATTGCCAAATGCGTATTGACGAAAAAACTGAATAAACAAATCGAGTCCATGATATAATTATTCTACTAGCAGTAGAATGAGAAATATTGAAAAAAATTCCCTAAAAACGAAAAATCTTTAGATAGATATTAACTAGAAAAGCAGCTTACCAGTTCCTGTAGGTCAGTTCCTCTTCGTAATCGTATCATAAACAAAAAAAATTGATTTATCTTAGATAATTTGCAGGTATCCGATAACTTGTTATTTTGTAAACCACATTCTACTCGAGTAGAATACATTACAAAATGATCATCATAGTAACTCTTAAAAAAAATCGTTGCACAGACATAATATTACATAGACTTTCTTACCTTCAATAATTCGAAAACCATTTCAAATATTTTATAAGACTTGAAACCAGTATAATAATTAATATAATAATCATTATTTTCAAAACGTTCGATACATATTACTGTGTTGAAAACCTTTTGCTCAAGTAGTGATAATTTACTAAACATAGCAGTTAAAGAAACCATATCAATATCAGTTTGAGTACTCGTTGAATTTGATGTTATCGTTCCCGTGTGGGTAGTCAATGGTAGAATTTCAACAGGTGTAGCAGATGATTTTAATCGTATTCGACTACATTCGTTAATGTTTTTCTTCGATTTATCAATAAAAGATGATGGTAAGAAATCGTNAACCGCTTGAATTGATATGAAGATAATCAACAAGAAAAGTATTGTAACTTATCCACAAGAGGATTTAGTGCAATAACAGTGAGCTACTGTTCAGTAAACGCAAGAGATGAAAAATACTATCAAAAACATCCTGTCTTTTTACTTCTACATCTTGTAATTTGAGAATTATATTTTATGAGGTACAGTTTCTGGCAATATTCATTAGATTATATACGTACAGTACTACTCTATAGAGTCCTGCTTGATGTTATTCTACTTATTGGACATGAATATTATGCTAACTTTCAGATATAAACTAGAAAAAGTTTGCAAAAATTTAAAATAAGTATTCATATGTATATATAAAATAGTGACATGTTCAAAAGTAATCATCAAATAAAGGCATATCAGTAATGTAAAAGTTTGCTTCAAATTTATGCCATTTTGTAGAGTAAATGACGAGAAAGTTTTCTATAGTAGTGGCTATTTTGTTAAAGTTCACGATAGGAGACAAATCAACGAGGAACATATAGAAAATACCCATAAAATTCTATTTTTGAAAACTATCTACTGTTTATAAGTTCTATAGTTTTCAAAGGGAGTAATTCAAAATTTATAGACATATACCATTTTGTAGAGCGCATTTCGGTGCATCTACTGGTAGTATTTGATATGCTCAACTGCAGGCTTTTAATACAGAAAATAGAACTTTTTGAAATTGGCCAACTATTCATAAAACGGAATTTCGGGTACTAATAAAGTGATTCATTGGTACCCTACAATAGATAACTATAATTAAAGAAAATATGTAGAAATATTCGCCACGTCAAGGACTTTCAGAATATATAACTCCCGGCCGAATTCCATGGGGTGGCAGATTTGGCTTCTTATCCGGCGGGGTCCTTTCTTACCTTCAATAATTCGAAAACCATTTTAAATATTTTATAAGACTTGAAACCAGTATAATAATTAATATAATAATCATTATTTTCAAAACGTTCGATACATATTACTGTGTTGAAAATCTTTTGCTCAAGTAGTGATAACTTACTAAACATAGCAATTAAAGAAACCATATCAATATCAGTTTGAGTACTCGTTGAATTTGATCTCATCGTTCCCGTATCGGCAGTCAATGCTAGAATTTCAACAGGTGTAGCAGATGATTTTAATCGTATTCGACTACATTCGTTAATTTTGTTCTTCGATTTAGCAATAAAAGATGATGGTAAGAAATGAGAACTACATACAACAATATTCGAATATTTCTTTATATCTGGACGATTGAGCCGCTTGAGCTACGTTTGTCGAAGATTGGTATTACTTGGAAGGCGATGAAAAGAGACATTTACCGATGATCCTTCCTTATTAGAGCAAGCAATGCACGATCTCACCATGTTTGATGATGTTAGAAAAAGATTGAAATCATATATATATTCCCTTTTTGATTCATTTCAACTTATCGTGTAAAAAAAGAGATCATTTCATTATTTCTTCAACAGATAGATAGTCATTAATCAGTGCTAATGTAAGACAAGGTTAATTGAAGCCAATTAACCAATTATTCATTCACACCTCGTTTGATGTAATCTAATTAATTTTGTGCATGGAATAAATACCAACATCTTACATATGTATATTCGTTTCTTTCTGTTTTTTCTTCATTTCTCATGGCAATATCATCTTCATCAAGCATGTCAATCGTCGATTATAAACGACCATTTAATGTCGATGCAAGTTCTATCACAGAGTATTTTTGTTCTGTGTTAGCTTCTGATGGACGTTCAGATCGTGGTGCTCTGCGAAACGGAAATCTTTTATTTAAAAATCATTTTGTGCATTCGATTGCTGTTAGTCGCCGATTTATTGAAGTAACCATCATAGCAAAATGTCGCGCTCAAATGAAGAAAGCAGTTACGTACGAAGTGAGTGATTTAACAATACGAATGTTAAAAGCTCTGTTGAAGAGATGCAAAGTCTAGATGCTATTTACTTTTATGTATAAACAGGAGAGAATATTCTTAATGAATATAGTATTTCACAGTTTAAAGTTTCTGTTTGATTTTGCAATACGATTTTCGGTTTTAGGTGAAATTATTGATTAATACCAATCGTCCTGCCGATATTATAAGTGGTTGCTGTCAATGCGTAGCTGGACAAGGACCTAAAGCAGCTTGTAAGCATATTGCCGCCTTATATTTTGGATTATTAGATTACGATGATAAAAAACTTTATGATGCACGTACTCAAAGACTTCAAGAATGGCATAAGCCTACACGTCGTTCGTCGAATCCAGTTGCTTTACAAGATATTGATTTTGGTTGTCTTCGACATGGTATGACAAGCCAAGAATCTCCTCAGTATTTAACATTTCTTAAAGATTATACCTTTGTACCTCGTGCTGAAACAACTCTTCAACAGCTACTTGTTAAATATAATCAAGAATCAACTATTGCTGCTTCATTTTTCGTTTCAGAACAACCATCAAGTGCTGATTCACCACTTCCAGGTCGCGTAGTTTCGCAAAGTCCAGTTGCATTTGACTTTTCTACTGATCCGTCTATTATTCAATATTATTATGAAAAAATTCACGTTTCCTCTAATGAAATATCCAAGATTGAGATAGCAACTCGTGGCCAAGCAGCATGCGCTCAATGGTTTAAAGATCGGAAAATTCGAATCTTAGGTAAGCTGATTTTCAACAGTAGTTTCGAGTCAAACGCAACTGAATGCGTTTGTTTACATGGCGCTTCTGGATATGAGATGAAGATTAATAGTAGTGAGCTTATTGATATTATATTCGGTTACGCAGAAGAAGTAAGACGCGAGATGTGTCGTTTGAAAGCACGAAGAGATTAATCACGAATTTATTCTTTTAATGAAACTATTGTTGTAGGTACAAATGTGCACTCGATTTGCATTGAAAATTATAATTTTGAAAAGTTGGCTAGTAATATTCTGAAAGACAAAAACAAAGATCGATCATCAGTTCCTGCTGTTCGTCATGGCATTTTAAGTGAAGAGCTTTGTCGTCGTTGATATGTATTGGAGAAGCGGAAAAGTGAGTTCTTATAAATGCCTATTGTACATTCAACTTGCCTCATTATTTAGTGAATATTTGTACCAGTACTTACCCAAGTGGACTTCTTATCGATCAAACTGCTCCATATTTATGCTGTAGTCCAGATGCTTTGGTTGTTGAAGTTGTTAATAACACAAAATCGTTTGGTATCCTTGAATGCAAATACGTTTATGCTGACGAACATGCTACTTGGGATAGTCTTATTGCAGCACGTGAAAACTTTTGTTTGGAATGGAAAGATATCCAACTGCAACTACGTTCGGATCATCCATACTATTACCAGTTGATCGCTCTGTTGGGTATTATTGATTATGCATGGATTGACATTTGTATTTTAAAAGGGCAAGATGTTCACATACAACGTTTAACCAAGAATGACATGGTATGGTCCAAGATCAAACAAAAACTCACTAAGTTTTACTTCAAATATTTCTTACCACAAATACTAAAAGAAGAATAAGTTTTTCGTTGTCTCAAGTGTTTTTGTATATTAATATAGATTTCTTTATGAAATAAAGTTCCTTTCAAAATAAGATTGAATACTGATTATAGTTAGTATGCAGCAGTGAATTTCACCTGACTTGTTACATATATCGGTATGAGGATGAATAGATGATTTCGATTAAAAAAAAATAGATTATACATTTGTATGGAAAAGAAGAAGAAAACATCAAAGGAAAAATAGATNATGTTTGCAAGTGAAAACGTCAGCCATTGGTTAATCCAGTTCAGCCAATAAAATCGAAAGAAAAAAAAGATGATGTATTTTCTCACACTTTGTATATCTTTTCTTTGTTCCACACATCAGTGACATGAATGAGACGGTGTTCAGTAGGTGATGCCTGATTGGTTCGTTTTTTTAACCAATAATAAAAACAGAAATTAAATATTTGGCAGAATTTATTGAATTTTTTTGTTTCACTTGCGGAAAAATTTCGTTATTATTTAAAACGATATTTATGGATCAAATCGACGAGAAAAAATATTTTTTTGCGAAAAAATTCTTTCACGCATAATTTTTTTTAGTTTTTGGAATTTTTGTAAAGTTTATTTCTAATTTAAAAAATTCTTTGAATATTGTTATTGTTAATTTTTGGGTGTCAGGGTGAACGGTCAAAGGTTAAAAAAACATTTTCTTGAAAATGCTCAAAACTTGAGAAAACATCGTTTGGCAGAGGTTTTAAATGTGGAGCTTGGATGGAAGGCGGTGGGGTGAATGCCCTTTAGGTGAAAGGTCAAAGCCATTTTTTCTAAAATTCTTGGAACTTCCTAATATATCGTTTGATATGGTTAGAGGGGCGTGGTTGATGGCGGGAGAGGCCCAAGTGAAAAGATCGAACCATTGATCAGGGGCTGAATAAAACATGATTAGGGAGGTGCCTTGAGGCTCGATGCTAGCCGATAGGTGGGGTTGAGGGTCTGGATGAAGGGTCATATAGGAAAAGGCGGATCGCAGGGACGCCGACGACTGACTGCGAGATGGTTGGTTGATACATCGTTTGAAAACAGTAGAATAAAAAAAGAATCAGTCGAGGGTTAGACGAGTCGGCTCCGACGAGCGTTTCTTGTAAAAAGTTTCTTGGAATACTGCCGATGCGATATTATGCATCCTTGAGAAGTTCTGCGTAAAGCAATGGTGGTACTTGATCTCCGAATTGTTGCATGATATTACTAGTAGCGTCTATATGAACAAAAGAATACTTTTCTATCGTACAATATTGGACGTAACGGATAATTTGAGGTTCTGAAAGGAAATGTACACGGTATGGGATCTCGCCTACAACTTGAATATAGCCTTCAATAAATGCGAAAACTTCGGACTTTATCCGAAAGTTATGTGTACTTCAAAAAGTGTATCACATGGCACACAAAAACCTGAGAAATGTTTTTTGTAAGTCAGTAGTATTACAGTCGATCGGGCTCCTCTTCGAACTCGTCTGCGACATTGACAATATACTGCTATGTACTAAATTTCATGACAATTGGATCATTCTTTCAGGAGTTATCGGATTAATGGCCAGACGGACCTACTGACCCATTCTATAGTATACTCACTTTTTGAGTACACAAAAACCAGCATGCAAAGTTTGACAATCTTATCTGCCATAGAATCACTTGGATGATAACTCACCGACGCCAACCTTGTCAATCTCCTTGCGGGCTCCCTAACGATCCATCTATCCTTCCATGTGCCCTCAAAAGCAGTACGGAGGGTTTGGCGTACAGTCTTGACACGAAATCGCGTGATTGAAATTTCACCCAGATCCTACCCAGGTCGTCAACACCTATCATCCTCACTAGTATGCGAACAGTCGTTTCATGCTTTCCAGACATATGGAAATAGCATGCAAAGTTTCGCGGCCTTTTCAGTTATGGAACCACTTGACTGAGATTTCACCCACCCCATCCGTGCCCACCCTCATTACTGGTCCACTAACTATCTTTCGATGTTTCCCTACGTTCACAGAAGCTCTATGAAAGATTTCGTGACCTTTTCTGATGCAAACTCGCTTGGATGAAATTCCACCCAGATCTCACCCAGGCCATCCAGGCCTACCCCTCCACTGGCCAATCAGCATTTTTCTGGATCCAAAGAAAGAGTACAGAAGGTTTCGTGGCCATAGCTGATACAAAAAGTGAATGCAAAGCGAACAAGCGGATAAACACGCAAAACTTCAAATTTTTCATATAGGAATTAGAGAAAACTTTACCAAAAGTCAGCAAGGGTACAACCGATCAGGCTCATCTTCGAACTCGACCGAGGCATTTACAAGATAATGCTGTATCAAATTTCATGAAAATTGGATTATTCTTTCAGGAGTTATCGGATTAACGGCCGGACGGACATACTGACCGATTCTATAGTGTACTCACTTTTTGAGTACACAAAAAGAATACCGGGTCAATTAATATTTTGGTTTCTTTTGTTAACGCGACTAACTAACCTTCAGCCGTGGCCGACGTCACATCATTTGACCGATAAGCTTGAGATAAAATACGACATTCTCGATAAACATCTTAATCTATTTCGAACTATACACGATAATCCACCGCTGCTTTTTGTAGACTTCAATTGATTTGCACCCAGTAAAATTTACAGCTTTCAGTAAATTTTCATCAGCGGCTTCTAAGCATTCATGGAATACCGCTAAAGGACCAATTTCATTTGCTCGCTTTCCTAAAATAAACAGTGTCAAATAATGAGCATATTTAAAATATATACTAAAATTTCATACCAATACGGCGACGTTCTTCTCCCTCAATTCACGATTCATAGTTACAACATCGGCGTCGTGGTTCTCTTCGCAAAAGATCTGCAAACGAAATAATAGCGAAGCATTTCTGTCTACTTCATTTTGAAGCATACCTCGGTATGATCTTTGGCAGTTGGGATTGATACAAGCAGCGCAAAACCAGAAATAACTGCATGAATGCTTTCTCTCTCCTTTTCTGATGAGTTTATTTCCGAAGCGTAGCGCGCATGTAATGCCACATGCTTCCAATTCCTTTGACAATACCTCTCTGCTGCCAGGATTCAACTTTTCTTCTGTGTAACTGAATGCAGCTTTCCATTCACTAGAAGTCAAAATGAACGATATTTTTGAGTAACGTTCGAACCATCATCGTGATTATTATCACTATTTATCTCATTGTCCTAAGAACGTGTATTTGGATGTTCAGGTAGTGGTGCTGATGTGATGCTATGTAAGTTTCGATGATTCGTCTCTTTATCACGTTTTTTATCTACTCCAAAGATATCTTCTTCATCATTAATGTGTATTTTATGCTTTTTCAATTCTTCGTTCACAAGCTTCTTTATAACACGATGTTTTGAATGCCACGCATTATACGAAGAATGCATGACTTTTTCAGTGTGATGAATTTTTAATTTCTCAATAACTTCACACCAAAGAGAAGTTGATGATTTTGTTCGATCGATGAAGCGCCACGACTCATGTTCAAGCTGATCAACACGGTCACCGAGAGATACAATAGCCGTCACTAGCTGTTCCTGAGTAATAAATGATCAAATATTTTCACCTTTTTTATTTGACTTCGGTTTATGCATGGTTTCACTACAAAAAATATAAAAGAAATTATCGAAAACAAATTTTACCTGATTATATAAATATAATAATTCCAAGTGCGATTCGAAGTTAATATTTCTATATTGAATGCTTAGCTCAGGATATGTCAGTGTTAAATGAGCTATGTTCCTCTCAGCAATTATATAACTCAAAATTTCCTTCCTTATCAATCATAATGGTAATACGATCGTTCCTCAATTTCATTTTCTCTCGTAATATCTTGAGCATAATCATCTCTCAATCTAAATTAACTCTCGATTTTAATCTACGACACAGTTTTGATCATTGATTATAACCGACCGCTTTCCATTCCCAGAGATAATCAAAAGAGGCAAGCATAATCTTTCTTTCATCCATATCCGAGGGGACAAATTTTATTCGCTTATGAACTAACACAGAGAAGCGATTATCTTGGTGTACTCCTTTCCATGCATCTAAGAACACTAGAGCACGGTATTTTCTATAGATATCGCTCGTCAAGATAATACACATAAAATATATTAATATGATAGTATAAACCATCTAATTCGAAACGATCTCCTGGATAAGAACACACGCTTTTCCGAAAAATCTGATTCTTCTTCGATACAATATCAACAATCTAGATAGTCAGATGTAATCTTGTTTCTTTATTTGCAAGAACTTCAACCAAATAAGTTTTTCGTTTTCCAAAAAATCCTACTCATATTCAATTTATAATTCTCAATAAAACACTTTTAAAGTGAAAATTGCTACAAAACCGTTTTTCTACTAAAAGTACTATTCACAAACGAATTCTTCAGAGAAATCGTTAAAATTCATTCGTCAACATCTCCTGAAATCGAATTTGAAGTTTTTTCCTTTTGAAAAAAGAGCGTTATATTTTAAAAAAATTTACAAAAAAAATTATGCGTAAAAGAATTTTTTCGCAAAAAAATATTTTTTCTCGTCGATTTGATCCATAAATATCGTTTTAAATAATAACGAAATTTTTCCGCAAGTGAAGCAAAAAAATTTCAATAAATTCCGTCAAATATTTCATTTTTGTTTAATTATTGGTCGAAAAAACGAACCAATCAGGCATCACCTACTGAACACCGTCCCATTCATATCACTGATGCGTTGAACAAAGAAAAGATATACAAAGTATAAGAAAATATATCATCTTTTTTTTCTTTCGATTCTATTGGCTGAACTGGATTAACCAATGGCTGACGTTTTCACTTGCAAATAA